AGAGAGAGAGAGAGAGAGAGAGAGACAGAGAGAGAGAGGGAGGGAGAGAGAGAGAGAGAGGGAGAGAGATTTATAGCTACCTCGGGTTATAAAATACAGTGAAGCAACTACTAGTAGCAGCAGCATGAGCAGCAGCAGCAAGAAGTCCAATGTGCATGCTGTCACTCGAAAGAACAGATGATGGCATAACGGTTTGTGGTCGAGTGGCACGACGAATTCCTAAAAGTAGCTGATTTTTCTCATTCCTAAAACCATATCAATTACACAAAACCTACGATTAGCAACAAAATCTAAAATTGCAATTGGGAAAACAACAGGGTAAACTATACCAGATAAAAAGAACAGAATCGCCAGCAACAAGTCTTTTGGCACTGACGAAAACACTCCAACCAGTAGTAAGCAAATGACGTTTGGGCTGACCTGATTTAGTAGCAGCAACATATATTAGAAGATCAAAATGAATAGGAAATAGAAATGGGATGTGAAAGTGATCTTTATGTTCATTGGAAGATCATCTAGAAGGTATTGCATGTAGATGGAAGAAAGGATCTGCATGTATGCTCAGAAATTTTTTATGCACTTCTCTGTAACACCTCTTAACATAAATTTAGACAACGTCTATATAATCGATCTAATTTTAGAGTAATTTAATCATAAAATAATGATAAGCGTAAAATTGATACTTTCGGTTTGCAACAATGTGTGCAAAATAAATTTAAATACACTTCTGCGATTCTCTCGTACTAAAATATTATTGTGACCACTTATTTATGTAGACGAAAGCCAAAATGTCGAATGCAACTTTAATCCCTTTTATGAAGATGGATAAGACAAATATCTTGGGCATCATATATTGCGCAATATACAGTACAATATGCCGAATACAACATAATTATAGAGGGGCCAAGAAGGATGTTTATGCAATAAATTCCATGCAATGGAAAAGTGAAAGCTGAAGAAGGGCCGTATATACTTTAGTAACAGGAAACTTGTAAATATGCCTTGAAGAGAGATCACAAACTTAATAACATCAATCATTTTTGAACAATTTGGATGTGAATGCCTAAAAGTAAAAAATCTGCTCCTTCCATTCTTGTACTCAATTTCAATTCTCACTTATGGATATTGAACTCAAAAACACCAAAATATCTTTGTTTATGCACTTCACCATATGCCTGTGGTTGAAGACAGCTTCGTTCCAAATAGCAATGAAACTACAACTTACATTTGGAAAACTAGAATAGTTGCAATTGCATAGCACGATGACAAAACAACGAAGTGACAAGGACTGTAAAGTTCAGCCATTAAGATGGTCTTATGAACCAAAGATTGAAACTCACCCCGAAATATATGCCTAAACTTCCATTCCACATCATGGAGATCCCTGGCTATGAGTTCTTGTGCAGGTGGTGTTTGAGAAAAATCCTAAGGCAGCAGAAAAACAAAACTCATTATAATATCTCCAACACTATTGTCATATCAGAAAAGAGCATATCACGAGATATCATTTACCAGAGGAGGAAAAACTTTCTCCGCAGCACGACGTGGAACAGAGAACCCGCCATGCGTGCTCGTATCACTTGCTGTTAAAGTCTTGCAGAAGTAATTAGTCGGCTGCCTGCTCGGAATTCCCAGCTCTACAGGAAGATAAGCATCTTTTTGTTCTTGCTGCACTCGACCATTAGATTCATAACCAAGTCAATTGGTATAGACGAAAAATAACATTGAAGAGCTATATAATTTTGGACTTTTACCGGAGTCAGGGGCTGCAACGTCATCTGCGCATATACTTCATCAGTTTCAACATCCGCCTAATGTTCAAAATACAGTCAATTCTTTTTAAGATTATGTAACTCAATAGCTCAAAATTGAGTTAATTTTTAAAGATAGAAAGAAAACACCATATATTAAAGAAAAAACCCACATGCATTGTGACATTGTGGAGTTGACAGATCAATTGAGGCGACAAGCTCGGGTAATTGGGTATATGAGCATCAACTTCTTTGTTAGTAGTGGCAGCAACCTGCCCAAATTTTTCAGTTAGGATATACTCAGAGACCTAAAACAGTACATTCAAAGACATTTGCATGAAGAGAATATTATTACAATAGAATAACTCAGAGAAACCTGCTCACTATGACCCTGCGGAAAGTAAACCACACGGCTCCCGACAGTCGGCAGTGACACCAAAGGCCCAGCACAGGCATGCCATAGTTCAGAGTTCAAGCACTTCTTATCTCCTTCCATAAGGCATAAACGAATTCATCAACAAAAATATACTTCAGATTAATAAGTTGTGAAAAATTATTTCTTTTGGGGATTGGCTTCGCTGCTGCTAGTAAATTTTCCAGGAAAATGACAACAACTCAAACAGCAAATATTTGAATGAAAATGACATGCTGAGAGACAATTCATCAAAATAAAGAAAGAAAAAAAAAAACAATAATAATAAAGAAAGAAAGATAAGAAGGTTTAAGCCACAAAAGGAGAAAGGGTAGCGTGTAGAGAAAAGATGAGACACAACAGTTTACCTTCATGAGCCTGCTGACCCATCCCTGATGTTGAAAGCTTCATAATTTTATTCACACTACACTCAGACAGCGAAAAATACTTAATGATCTCTACTATGATAAAGCTACAGTTTTTGTACGGAGCAAACAGAAGCACCAAGTAAAAGCCCCAGCTCAAACAAAACCCTCTCTCTCAACCCCTAAAAACTCTGCCATTTTCAGCTCCAAAAGTCTCCTTCTCCCAAGTTTACACTTCAACATCTCAAAATTTCCATTTGCATTACACTTCACCAATAATTTCACAAAAAATTAAAAACCCCATCAAAATCACACACATTAACCTCTTCAGAACTCCAAATTTCAGTTTGCCGTCCTTAAATTCCTCAAAAGTCCTAGAAAATCAGCAAGCATTTCTCTTTCATAACCCATCATCAAGGACCCCGCGAAATTACAAAATCTCCCCATTTTTTCTGCTTCTAGGTTTTGCAGCAACAGTGGGAGTAGGATAAAACTTAAAAGTCGCAAACTTTTCACAGCCAATCACTATCTCTCTCGACTTTCTTCAGGGAAAAAATCAAGTGGGAGGAAAAAAGAACACAAGACAGTAGCTTTCTTCTATTTTATAGTCACCCGACCAAGGCCGACCTGGTGACAGTCATCCCAGGGGTGAAGAGAGAGAAAGAAAGAGGGGAGAGAGAATGCGTGTGCGTGTAATGCAATATACGGTACTGCTGATACTATGCAAATGCTCAGCAAATGTCCCTCTCCTCAGTCTCTCTCTCTCATTCTCTCTCTCTATCGTCAAAAGAGATGAATCTGAGCCGTCCAAAGAACCGTACCGTAGATCGTGGCCGTTGTGATGAGAAATATGATTTGACAGGAGGCATGTGCCACCATCCCTCAGTGGTCGCTGTCGGAGTACGGACATCCAAATACATTACTGTTCTTGACAATGAATGAGAAAAAGGCTTCAAATAAATTATACTATTTGAAATGGAAAAAAACCACTGGACGAAAAACCTTTTTTCCCTTTTTCTCGTGCCTTCGCATACTTGTACCCTTCGCATACTGGTATTGTACTCATTAAGTTCTTTTTTTCACTTGTACGTATGCACATCAGTGGTCACAGTTCTTTTATATGGTAAGAGAAGTTGACATTTAACACTCGTCATCAATGAAATGATATTTGGAGTGAGTGGTTCACAAACATAGTTTGATATGTCCTGTGAAAGTTCGAATTCAACTCGTTTATGTAAGTATACTGTAGATCTCGAATAATAAATTAAAGGAGTTAAGTTTATTTCGTTCACAAACAACTCGTTTATTTATTTTTTTATAGGTGTTCGAAGGAAGAGCTAAGGTGAGCATATTTCTGAACGCACAAATCGTACTTGCAAACAACTCATTTATGATTATGAGTTCGTTAAACGAGCCGAGTCAAGATTTCACGAGTTTAAACAAACCGAGCTCGTGTTGAATTTTCAGCTCGTTTATTAAAAGTGTAATAGTCAAAGTAACAAATTTTACTTAATAATTCCAAGATACACTATCATATCATATCCCTAAAATGTTTATTCATTATCTTAACACATTTGCATTACTCCCAAAGGATGATTCGTCTACAATGGTTGACAAAAGATTTGTTAGTAGCAACTGTTAAGAGACTATGGTTCGAATTTTTTTATCAAATGAATGAACAAGCTATCAAGTATCAACTTTCTCTAACACGATCGAGATAATCATTACTTTATTAGTATGTTTAGATTTTCTTTTCATGTTTATTATATATTATTTTTTTATTTTTTGAATTATATGTTTGTGGGGTAGGGGAGGTGGTGCCATACTGAAAAACTGCACCTTTCCTATTACTTGGATGAATTAATAAACTTGCAATAGTTCAAGGTGGAGTAAAATAATGGAGATGGGAATTAATAATGTGGACCTAGTATGGTCCATGCCATCCTTGACTAGAAACGGGGGGACCAATTTTTTTGTCACACAAACTATAATACCTATGTGAATTTGAAATGAATTTCACAATAGATACTATTTTTCAAAAGATTTGAGTAATCAATGGATGCAGTAAAGGGGTCTGTTTTTTGGATGGCAAAATTTGTTAGACTTTCTAGATACAGGAAAAAATCAAGACTTGCCGTTCATTTTTGGTCATTTGCACCACTTCTCTACTTTTCACCTGCTCCTCTCAAAAATTGGTTTTTGGTCTACCAACTAAATTGACACACAAAATGCTAACATATGGAAGCGATATAGATTGAAAGTGTGGGCACCTCCTATGTATTTACTTCTCTATGTGCCGGTGGTAACTTCCCCAAACTCATCATTTTCAACAACGGGTTCTCTATAAAGTTATTATGTAAAAAATGTTTAGAAAATTGGTATAATATAAAACTTGCAAGTTGTATAAGTGACAAGTATAGTTTTAAAAATAAATAATAATCTAAATTTTTTTTTAAAAATATATTTTGGTGGGCATAGTATCTCTGAGAAATTAGAGCTTTTCCAACTTGCATATTGTTGATACCCGAGTTAAACAAAAGATAATCAGATACTAAAGCTCGGAACTGAGGTCGGATCATGACGAAATATTCCAAATCACTCCCCCAGGGGTGAAAAGACAAAGAGCACCCGAGCATCGGACTTCAGTCGCGCGGCCTCTTTTACCCACGCTGGTTGGAGATCAGTTCCACTCCTGCCACGACAAATGCTATAATATTGCCACTTGCAGCTTCATGATGACAGATGGGACAGAGGTGCCGGCTCTGCGGGCCTATGTCCCACAGACTAATAGGGTAATCTGCAGGTATTTAATGTCTGTCACATAGCATTAAATGCAAGGGGCTTAGGTGAACAGTAGAGATGAGAGGTATCGCTATAAATAGCCTCCAGAACCTATAAGAAAAGGATTCATTTGTGATAGACCAATTTAATGTACGGAATAGTAAAAACGCAAAAAGGATTCCCGCATTTAAGACGGAATCCGACCTTTATAAGGTTGAATTGCATGCAACCTTTCTGACAAAATCCAACTTTTATGGCCTTGATGATCCTAAATTAACACCAAATTTCTTAATTTGGGTTGATCAAATTCGTCAATCAACAGTTTAAATTTCGTAATTTGGGTTGATCAAATCCGTCAATCAACAGTTTGACGCTAGAAGAAGGACCCCATATGTTGCTTGGGGCAAATTTTCGAAATGAACAGACACATATCGAGAACCCTCCCGTTGGAGGATGATGTCAATCAGCACGGGAGAGTGGCCACAATCATCACCTCAGTGACAGGCATTAGACTCCTCCCACGCCGTTCTCCCTAAAAGAAAACATCCGCGGCCGCACGTGACTGAACAAGTTCCCGTCGTCATCCCCGCGACTGACACGACAAGAAAGCAAGCGTCGAAGCCGTCGCGGCACTATCAACCCTCCAGTCGCAGCCACTATGGACATGATGGCGATGTTTTAACATCCGGACTTCCTTAAAGGTATGGAAAGTTCCGTAGCGAAGATATTAGCGTCGGCGGCTTTGGCAAACCAGGCCGCAGCGGCGGAAACTGCAAAAATGCCCGGGNAGGAACAGACAGCGCCACAGGGAAGAAGGACAAAGGCTTAGTTAACGGCCAATCTACGAAACACACCACCAAAATCCAAAGGGAAAAGGCATCCAGGCCGGCCTTGACCGAGGAACCGGGGGAGAGTAGGCCGGCCCCTACCTTTCAGACTAGACATCATGATCAACCGGTTGCCTGACCCCTCAACGGTCTGGAACACAAAGACAATTTGAGGGATACGATTCGCAGAGGAAGACCTACGAACCACGGACGTGAATAAATCACTGCCCTAAAAAGAAGATCGTCGAGCTAGAAGCCAGGCGTAAAACACGATCGAAGGACACCATCACCGACCCCTAGAAGAGCCCTTGAACGAGAAGCTCTGAGGAACAATCGGAGGACACCGCCAACTTTTCCCTGAAGAACGCGCCCCCATGTCATCGACACGGCCTCTCCGCTATCTGAGGACATCATCCGCGAGCCATTACCCGAAAAAGTGAAAGTCCCTCAGACCGGATTGTACGACGGGAACCCGAACCTGAACCCAGATGCCCATGCGGGACTTTACACTTCGTGGATGGATCTACATGGAGCCGGGGATGCGCTGAGATGTCGGATGTTCTCACCGACGCTGGGAGCTAAAGCACAGAGGTGGTACCACTCCCTTTACCCCCATTCGATCTCGAGTTGGGATTGAAATTGGATCAGTGCTACGCCACCTACACCCGCCTCGCACGAACAACATGCCGCGAAGAGGTTGAGATTGTTTTCTGAATTTACAAATTTCGTGATGAAAAGTGAACAACATGCCGCGAAGAGGTTGAGATTGTTTTCTGAATTTACAAATTTCATGATGAAAAGTGAATTTTGGATTGGAGATACATTCGAAAAAATTATTTCAAATGAAGGACAAAAAAGTAATCTCAACTTAAATGTTATAATAATCTACTAAACCAAACAAGTTAATAGACCTCTTCCATCCAAAGGATAACCCTTTTTTTATTTTTTTTTGAGAACTAATCAACCTTAATTAGTAAAAGTAACCAATATACAGAACATTGTTGTATGATATCTAGTTAGTTTTATTTTATTTTATATTTTTTGAAACAACAAAATTTATTAAGAAAAAAACAGAATTAACGAGTCAGCTAAAGCAGCTAAATGGTTGAATTTACATATATACGCATATGTTAGTTTTATTCATACGTAAGATTTACATCTAATTTTTATCGGATAGCTCACGTCAAAAATCACATTATACATTAGAGATGCCTTTACATATAAGAAAATAGTAATTGAGAACTATAACTTTTTGCCTTTTTTAAGTTATTATTATCTACATATTTCTTTTGCAGTTCAATACCTGCGATGTCTTTAGTTTGTTTTGTTTTTATTTTTTATTATTTATATCCCTTTAGTTTGTTTTATACTAAATTTCGTTTTAGGTTTGCATTTTTTTAATTACTTATCATTTTAGACTAATTATTTTATTTATATTTAGTATAGGAAATCTTATAAATAAAAAGAGAATAAAAAAACAAGAAATTTAGAAAATAATTAAAACATGGAATGATGAGAATAATTATTAGAAAAGTAGTATATTAATATATTATTTAAGGAAATTTGACAAAGAAATCTATATATATATAATTACTAGCTAATAACATTTAATAAAACCTATTTAATTTTACCTATATGGCAATTTAACAATTTTTTCTCCAAAAACCGTTACATTTTGATGTATTTAATCTTTTATTTAATCATTAAATAATTAATACTCATCACTTCAAAATTACAAAAATAATTTTAAACTTTTGATTAATGACAGATGACCATATAATGTGTTGACCGTATAATGTGATTAGATGTTATTATTGTTGTTACATTTAATTTTTTTTAAATAAAAAATATATTTGAAATTCCTAAATAAATAATAAATAATTCACAAATAAAAGACGTACCAAAATATACATTACATCCAATCAGATAAACGCAATTTAAAAAAAAATATTACTAACTCTTTTAATTGTAAATTTGGTCTGCAAAAAAGTGAAAGAAAAATAATTAATCATTATATGCATACAGACTCACAATAATTTATTTATATCTGTGCAAATGCACAAGTCGAATACTAGTAATTAGTCAAAACACTAATCATTATTTTTTTTTTCAAGATGGACACGAGCATCTCCAATGATCTTTCTATTTCTCTATTTTGATGCCACATGGCACAAATAATCTCAACTTGGCTTGAAAAAATTCTAGAAGACTTTCTAGATGTAGAAGTCTTTCTATATTAGAGTATTTATTTAATTTATTTATCTTCTTCAACTAATTAAAATTTTACACATCCCAAATTATATCACAATTAACATTAACCATTAAAGACATAATTTTTTCAGAGGCCCGATTTCTTAGCCATTTTTTGAAAGAAAAAATGATATATAGCCATTGTGGG